TAAAAAAATTGCATGAAATGCTTATAGAAATTGCTAGGAAAGCATGTCCAAGATTAGTGTATCACTTCGCCATAGGATAAAGCGTATAGGTAAACATACACTCATTTGGCTTTAGATTTCACTCCTGATGTTGTTGATTTAATTTTCGGTTTATCGGTACTTTGTATTCAGTTGAGTTTAGCATCGTTTGTTTTTATTGGTATTGATTATTGGTTTTTGGATCGAGATATGTGATTGTCTCAATCAATTTAGATTTGAAGAATTTGATTTCAGTCTTGCTCAGAAGAGTTTCTGAAGTTACAATTGGTAATGGAACAAATCTTTGAAACCTGGGGCATTGATTGAACTCATTTCTTTGAACTGGAATGTTGCATTATTCTTTGTTGTGGTTTGACAGGCATGAGTTATTTACTTAGCACAATGTATGCCTTGGTCCTTTTGTATTTCATATTGTATTGTCTAGATTTCTTTAGTGTGCTATTTAGATGTAACATTCTCTTTTATCGGTAGATTCTCAGTTATTCCAACAAAAAATATAGTCACCTAAATGGTTTTCAGATATATACAGTTCTCTTTTGTCATTTTTTCTTTTTTGCTTTTTTTTTTTTTTTTTTTTTTTGCTTGTCTTCTATTATAAAATAAGAATATGCCTTAATGTTGTCATATGAATCCTCTAAATCTATCTTTCTTCTATTCATGAATCATGATACATTATAACATTGTCTATTATTTTATTTATCTATTTTCCCTGTTTTTTTTGTTGTATCATTTTATCATGAATGCTACTGCTGTGGCGGTATATGAATTTGAGGCTCCAGGTTTCTTTTTAAAGATTATGCTACTGTAGAGATGAGTTGATATCATACTACCGTATACACTAAAAGTATATGTCTAAATTCAATTAAATATCATATCTTTTGGAAGAAAATAAAATTTCAATAAAATAAATATATGATATTTAATTATGCACATATGTTAATTTTCGTACAACAAATATCAACAATTAATGCAAGAATCTGCTTATAATGGAAGATATCGTACAAATATTACGTGCATAAATAGAGTCATAATAAATTTGGCGGCAAAATAAATTAATCTTGTCAATAAATGAAGCATATAAATTAATATCTTCTGAAAAAGACAATGACATAAAGATCCTGGCGAGAAAGAAAGGTCCACAATCAAATCCATCAAGAATGGAAAACGACATCTGATGGAAAATGAAATATTATAAAATCTTTCTATTGGTCAATCAGGACGCGCCACGCGGCATCATTAAAAAAGAAGCCGAGGACACCCCTCCCGTGTAAATACGAGTCATGGCCAGTTAATTTGAGACACCGAAGTTGCATCGAGGATTCAAACAAATGGGTAAGTCTCTAGACTCTCTCTGTATTGTTCTTCGTGTCCTTCGAAGTGTTCTTCGTCAAAAGTCACTGATTTGGACAAATGATCCAATATTGGTTGACGAATCCATGAAGTTAACGTTCCTCGCCGTATGTCCTAGCCGGAGGAAGGATCAAAACTCCCAAAGCCGTTGTGAAATTCGTCAAAGCCAATGGAAGGTCTTCAAAGTTTTTCTCAAAACTTCAAGATGTACATCGCGTTCTTCGACAAAGCATCAACTAGGCCCTCTTCGATCCAAAAGTCAAAGAGACACGCCGCCAAAAGTGTTATGGAGCGCCAAATCCACCTCTTCAAGGATCAAAGCTCCAAAAGCCATTCAAGAATCCATCAAAGCCAAGAAAAAGCCAGGGCCGTCCCTGGGCCCGGGCGAAAGGGACGACCGCCAAGGCCCAATCTGAATTGGGCCTATTATTTATTTATGTTATATATAAATTATTTATATATAGAAATTATTTGACACTAATGTCTTAATACAAGAGCATGACTTGTTGGTTAAGTTATAGTATTATTAATATTTTGCATATAAAAATATTAGGAAGTTTATTTTATTTAATTATTTATATTTTATTATAGATAAAAAAATATATTATTCATGCATATTTATGGGCCCTAATTTTTGTTTTAAGATTGTTAATATTAATACTATTATTGATATTTTACTTAAAAATTCTAAAAAATTATTTATATTCTATTATAGGTAAAAGAAAATCGGAGTAGATTATTTATATATATTTAGGGGTCTTTTATTTTTGTTTTAATTATTTTTTGCAGTAAAAAGATAATAAATATTAGACAAAATTATTATTATTATTATTATTATTATTATTATTATTATTATTATTATTATTAGGCAAAATTATCAATAACTCATTTATGATTTCGAAACTCAGTGTAAATCATCTATCTACTTCAAAAATGGCATGAACTCCCTTATACTTTAAAAAACGTTTCATTAGACTCATTTTTATATTTTTTTGGTGATTAGAAGATGACTTTTCGTTTATATTTTTTTGGATGGCAGGGGTTTCATATAGCGTTTGTTAAAATATAAGGGAGCGTTACGCAATTTTTAAAATTTATGCTAGAAAAAATATATTTTTATTTATATTTTATTATAGGTAAAAAATATTATATATATATTTAATGGCCCCTAACTTTTATTTCGTCTCGGGCCCTCCGAAAGTCAAGAACGGCCCTGTGGCAAATAATAGTGTGCAAAGAGTAATAATTGAGAATGGCTTCTAAAGCCAGAATAGCATTGTTTCTAAAGCCATAATAGCTTCAACATGTTGCATCTGACCAAAGCAAATGCAACCTCACATGCGAGCATGTTCGACTTACCTGTAGTGGCTGATGTACAAAATGTGATTAAATGTTGGATAGCTTCAGCATGACATACAAATGCTATAGTGCATAGGACACATGAAAAATAAGATTCATCTAAATATGCAAATATAAAGTCAGCCAAGATGATAAACATGCATGATCATAGGAGAATCATCAACAAAATCTGGAAGGAATAACAGATCTGCATGCATTTGAAAAAAAAAAAAAGAAAGAAAAAAAAATAGCTGCATATTTACCTAAAAAGAGTTGTGGTTGCTAAAGAAAGTACTCGTTTCAGTAAATTAGTTGTCAAGAAAACATATAAATTAATAAAAGGATAAAAAATCATAGTATATATTGATTCATTTCAAGAATTAACAATGTGATAAATAGAATTTAAAATAAATTGCCTATTAAACATAACAAAGGGAAAAAGGAATTTATCAAAAAATTTCAATTATCACCATAAAATAAATTTAAAAAACAAATAGACCAAGCAACGTATAAGCATTGTGGTATATCAGGTGGGAGAAAATAATGTGTTAGAAATAGCACCATAAAAAAAATATCAAACTAATATTTTAAGATATAACACATATGAACTTCGATTAGAACTTTGATCAAAAGCTAATTAAATTTAGAGTAGTTCATTCAGTGCAACTGTAAAGTGGAAATAGTATAATGATGTATACTCAACAATGGCCTACTATTAATACATGTATGGTATATGCTTATAATTTTGCATAGAAATAGCAATCCATCTATGCAGTGAACAATCATCCATATATGTATTTATATTCAAATTACCTACCAAAAAAATCAATATTTTAAAAACTTCTTTTGATTCCTTTCCCAACATAAATATGCAACTCTACAAGGGGGTAAGATTATTTTCATTCCTGTTATTTGAAAAGCAACTACGGCCATTATGCAATATAATAGGCCAATGCCATCATGGCATTATCAAGAATATAGTCATGATCAATAGTAAATGCATAAGATGCGGTAATGCAATTAATAACCACATCACATAGGTCACAAAAGTGATCAACAAGTTTTATTTCAATGAGTTTATGAATTATTAAACAATATACACACTAATGCAAAATTCATATTTAACGATGCAAACAAGAACATGTTTTCCAAAGCATTTGTATTTCATAAACTTCCCTTTCATATGATTGGGGAACTATAAATTTCTCACAAACGGAAAAACTCCTAGATTGATTGCAATGTTACATGTTGGCATAATGAAAAAAGTTAGCATGTAGTGACTGCAATGCAATTCTATTGGCACGTAGATCTTTCATTTTTGCATTATAATGAAATAATTACCTTTGAATCCTAATTTGTGTTTAGTGAAGAGTTGCAAACTCAAAGTTGATTTGTATACGAAAAGATCGAATGATACATCGCTTAGTTCTCATAAGTATAAGCAATATGAAATGGGGAAACTAACAAGAACTAATATATTCTTCCAAGGGAATGCATCTAATTAAGCCGAAAATTTCACATTTAAAACAAAAACTTCACTGCACCAAGGGAAAGTAGAAATCTCATCAATTGTTAAGAAATCTTAGATATTATTAAGCATCTCAAGAAATGGATGAAAACGGTTGGCGAATTTGAATTTGCCAATTGAAATTTACCAACAGTAATAAAATTTATCAAGTTGGAAAACAATTCAAACAATAATAAATGTGTGTGTGTGGTGTTGTTGTTCTCTCTGAAGAATATAAGAGCAAATGATCAATATATCTATATAGGTATTGCCACGCTTCCAAAATAAATTCGGAAATGTCGGGGGAGTGTTGTAATGTATTATTGCTTATAAACACAAGAGTAGCCGCTATGAGGACAAGAATACAAGTAAAACACGAAAGAGTTCAATGATAAATGCAAGCAAATAAAGAAAATATTAGTATACCTTTAAGAGCTCTAGAAAAACGTGGCTATGGATATACCTACCAGCGGACGTTATTTCCGAAGAGATTCCGGAGGCCTTGCCAAACAAGGTCGGTCCTAGGCCGGGCGAAAGAGGCACCTGCCCAGGCCCAATTTAAATTGGAGCCATTATTTATTTATGTTATATATAAATGATTTATATATACAAATTATAATGATATTAGGATATTAATACAATAATATAGCAAGAAAATTTATTTTATTTATTTATTTATATTTTATTATAGATAAAAAAAAAAACATTATTTATATATATATATATATATATACTTAGGGGTTCCTAATATTTTTTTTTATTGTTTAGACAAAATTAATATTAATACTATTATTGATATTTTATGTAAAAATGCTAAAAAAATATTTATTTAATAATTTATATTCTATTATAGGTAAAAAACAAATTGGAGTATACCATTTATATATATTTAGGGGTCTTTTATTTTTATTATAAATAAATTTTTTGTGCACTAAAAAGAAAATAAATATTAGACAAAATTATTATTAGGCAAAATATCAATAATTCTTTGTTGTTTTAAAATTCAGTGTAAATTCTCTATATACTGTATGGGTCATTTATACTTTAAAAAATATTACATGAAACTCTTTTTTTTTGTTTTTTCTTTGGGTGATGAGAAGATGATTTTTATTTTTTATTTTTATCTATATTATGGTTTTTTATCTTTTTTTTTTTTTTTTTCATGACGGGGGTTTCATATAGCGTTTGTTAAAATATAAGCGGACGTTAAGCAATTTTTAAAGTATATGAAAAATTTATGCTAAGTTTCGAAACTAAATTTATGCTAAAATTTTTATTTTTTTTAATCTATATTTTATTATACGTAAAAAAAAATATTATATATGTATATATTTAAGGGCCTCAGACTTTTATTTTGCCCCGGGCCCTTCGAAAATTAGGAACAGCCCTGGCTATGAGCCGGGGGCGTGCCGGGAAACTTGCATACAGTTCATTGATCATATTGTTGAGACGGACTGCATCTTTTCCGTATTGCTCGGTGTTGGCACCCACCCCCCGCCCGGATAACTCGTTGCCTTTGGAGTGTTAATTGGCACGTGAAGTTAATCAATATTTTCGAAATTGAAACAAGAAAAAAACTAAAAAAAAAAAAAAAATCCATACCGAATTCCCATGACTCAATGCAGTATCCCTTGGATATAGTGTATTTTATAAAATCACGAGCGTTGCTCGGATCCCATTCCCCTTCCCATACCTTATTTTGAGAGCGCCGCCTCCCGTATAGAGCATTGAGGCCAAAAGTCGGAATAACTCTGCAGGAACACAGCTAGTGAGTGTCGTACAAATACCAAAACAATAGGCTTGCCATCTTACAACATTTGATTGATCTAATAAAAACTACTAAGGGAACACAAGTAGGTTGCTCGCTCGATCTACACAAAAACTAACCAATGTATGAGGGTCGTAAAAGGTATCGGATTCTCACCCCGTGTCCTCGAAAAGTTTATTCAGCTGGTCCCACTGCTCCATACGTAGGCATCCCTTAGAAAATCCAAACAATCCGCCATTCTCCTTTTTAAACGTTTTTCAAGTAGACGTCAAGTTCCCAACATTGTATATCACTTGATCTTGCAAAGATCCGCTGACTCTAATTCTCAAGGCGCCGAAAGCTGCGGAGCACAAAAAAAGAAAAAGCATAACACGCCGCATCACCGAGCGGTCCAAAAAAGGAAAGCCAAGAATAGTTCCTAAAACCGGAAAATACGGACAAACCTTGAATAGCATTGTGTAAAAACGAGTGAGATAAATCCTAAGAACCAAAAAAATATATATATATATCGTGAGCACGGTGCTAACACATTAGTTGGACTAAAAAAACACGGAAAAAAAAAGTTCTTACAAGATTCAACACGGATGAAGAACCCCACGGGCATCGATCATAATTACACTTATCTTGCGGCCACCAATCAATGGTGGCACAAATATAATTATCGTCGGTTTCGGCGACAGCCGAGCTTGTGTCAACAACAATTCTAGCATCTTCCGCCGGAATCGCCGCCGGAATAAATGACAAAAAGAGCAAAATAATCCAAAACCCCATTGCTCCAACAGCCAAAAACAACTTCAAATCCAAAAACAACAACAACAACAAATTAAAGAAACACATTACATTAGCCATTGAATTCATCTCCACATTTGCGATATAACCATGAACAACGTCACTAATTAAACAAAATCTTACATTCAATTCTTCTTACAATCAGTTAGTTAATCACTCCCTCACTTCTACACAATCTTACAGATTTCAATTTCATACACACCACACCAACCACTCTACTTTTTCTTATGTAATAATTGGGCAAAAATATTATTAGATCACGAGAAAACGTGTAGAGATTTATGGAGAGAATGTGTACGACATATACTTCACATTAATTACAAAACCTAACTGTTTCTTTACATCTACGTACGGAATCGATAGCTGTCGTGAAGTTTAATTTATTAATCAAGCAACAGAATTGACTACATCGAGCAACGAACCTATTGGGATCTCTAAAATTTACACAAAAAAACATTCATTCAATTCAATGAACAGTAGTTCTACTGTAATGAAATCAAAATTAAAGAAGCCCACGAGAGGAGAGAGAAAGCTAACCTCAGAAATAACCCATTAATGAAGCTTCAGTTCATAAGAAAAGGATTCATTTCTTTGATTTATGTTTTTGGGGGGGTTTTGTTGGAGGCAAAATAGGAGATGGGGTTTTCTGGAATTTTGGAAACAAAAGAGATGTCGGCATCGGACACATGGAATGGACACGAAGCAGTTGGTGGTGGTGTTGTTGATTCAGCTGCTAAAGTTGGGTAATGATATAAATATAAATATAAATATAGATATAGATATATTGTTTGGTTGGTGTATTGAGAGGAAGGAAGGAAGGGGCCTTGCGGGGTAGGCTAATCGACGATGCCTGAGATTCGTTACAAGACTCGTGTCTAACATTAATATATGCAAAAAAAAAGAAATAAAAGGAAAGAAAATAGAATGATAAAGGCGACATGACTGAGCTGGAAAAGGGTAGGGTAGGGTTGGGTTGTGGATGTGGAAAGTTTCAAGGGTCTTTGTTAGAAGGATTTACAAGAATTTACATTCTTCATACAAAGGATTTTTTTTTTTTTTTTAAATATCAAATCAAATATTTATTTTTTATTTTTTATATTATACTAAAAATTAATTTTACTTTCAAAATATTACATCATTGTACCACTATTTCAAGTTTTAATTTTATTATTTTATGATTATTTAAATTTTATTATGATTATTATTTTTTTAAAATGACATATTGTTTAAATAAAAAATTAAAATTAAATTTCAAATTAATTTTTTTAATGAACTTAAATTTTTTTTTTAAATAATGTTTAATATAATAATTTTCTTGAAAGAATAACAATATTTTTATTGAAATTGTGCATTTGAATAATGTGATTTGTATTTGAAATACAAATCAAAACACAATTTGGACTTTTTTTTTTTTTTGGATTGAAGAATTTTAAAATTGAAAATTGATTTTAAAAGTGATGTTTTGTTTTAGTGAAGTTTTTCGAGTATTTTTTTTCATTAAAATTTTGTCCCACCTATTTATAAGGTGTGATATATAAAAGTAATGTACTAAAATTAATTATTAAAAATATTGTGTGAGATTATATCATATATTGTTAATTCATGTGTTATTCTTGTATTATATTAATATAAAAAAATATTGTCAAAAGTAATATCGCGTTGGTTATGAGTTTAATATATAATATAATCAAATTTTTAAGAATGGTTGGGATAAGAGATACTCATTTCGGGAAAGAACGGGGGAGGAGTTGAGATGGTATCAGGTATGGCGCTGATTGAAAGGCTTCAGGGTAGGGTGTGAAATATTTAATATTTCAAGAAATATATATATTTAATATTTTGTTTGTATGTGTGTAAATATTTGCTTCACTTAGTGATTTTTTTTTTTAATAATAATATTTAGTTTGTTTAGTTTGTATGTGTGTCAACATTTGATTGACTTAGTGATTTTTTTTTAACTGATTATTTGATTATATTTATATTTGTGGAATTTTAATTTTACAAATTTTTTAAATGGATATACGTTTAATTTTATGCTAGTCGGGTCGGATTTGAGCATGCCGGGCTCATGTCGGGTCATCTAATTTATTTAGAAATGCTTAAACGGATAACAAATCCTTTACGGGGTGTTCATATTTGAACGGGTCGACTTTGTACCAAAATTTTTGATCCGTTTAAATAAATGGGTCGATTTATGATTAAACACTTTAATCCGTTTAAAAACTCAACTCGACTTGATACGACTTATTACCCGCTCTAGTTGAAATGATCTTTCAAAAGACATTCTTTTATAGACATTAATGGGTTAATTTATTTTTGGGTGAATGTATTTTTTATGTTAGGTATAAGAAATCGTATTGTAATATAAAAAATAATATTTTGCATTCAATTATTGATTTTTTGTAAGTAATAAAGTACATATATTATATATTATGTATAATTATATATATATATTATACTTGTTCTTGTCATAAATAATACTTTCACTTTATGTTGGACATAAGTCTAAAAGCACCCGAACGTGAAGGAGGGTCAAAGATAAAAGTGAAGCCAGGTCTCCTTGGCCACGGAGCCGCTCAACAACAATAGAGATTCAAGTCTCGGAGCCAATAATTGTTGCCTCCACAGAGCCGAAGGCAACAACTTTCATTGAATTGTGGTGCTTCCTCATGGCCGAAAACAGAAGCCTTCATGGACCTTAGGACAGCAACTCCTTGGACTATGGGGCCTCCATCCCGGAACAATGTTTCCATAAGGTCAGAAATTGCTCTCTCCATTGGGTTGAAAACAACTACTTCTATTGGACTGCGGTGCTTTCACAAAGCAGAGGAATGTTACTTCCATAAGATAGAAAGCAACAGCTTCCACAGATCATGAGATAACTACCTCCATTGGCCCTGGGTTAATAATTTCATACTGAACATTAGTGGAGGGACTATGCACTTTCATACTTTATTCAAAAAGCTCCATGGAACAAGCCAACAAGAGGAAAATCGAAGATTCTATGTAACTCGAGGTTGTTGGAGACATATCCCCGTGGACCGGCTAAGAGTACGATGGAAACAAGTCGGAGTAAGCGACATATTTGGTCCAGAGGCAATGAAAGAAGTTAAGAGCAAGTGGAACCTAGTCCAGAGGCAATGGAAGCGGTTGAGATCTGATGGAAGGAGGTTATGAGATGGTTGATAGAATGAGGTTATCAGGTAGTTGGGAGCTGATAGATAGAAGGAGGTTACCATGCGGTTGTGAGTGATTGAGGAATAATTGGAACTGCTCTTTTTAGTGGGAAGAGGCGGTTATTCTATCTTAGGATTAAAACTAGGAAAAAACACATCACACACACGCACAAGAAGATGAACTTGTATATTTCTCTATTTCTTTTTCATGTTTTAGTTCCTGTTTATGCATTTTAATTCGAGTTACATACTTTTATGTTTCTAGCATATTTTTATCCGCTTTTCGGTAGATTTATCCAAATTTTAGTAGATGTTAGTTTAAATCCATCGAAATCGGTCATTTAGGCTCAAAGCGTCATTTAAGATTGAAGCCATGCAGGCTCCATCGCAGGAACCGCCTCTAATCCCACGACGAACAGGCTCTTTGGAATCTCCGAATTTTAGGATCCAACAATTGGCACGCCTAATGGGACCAAAGTCGGATTAGTCGAAGAGCGATGTCGAGGTTTACATGGGGTTCATTTGTACTGCTTGAAGAAAACTACAGAATTGTTGCAGAACATCCAATGCTTCAAGCCTTAGAGCCGGGCAGGCAAGATCAGGCTGGAACCAACAGCCTACAGGAAGCTGGAAACAATAGCCTGCGGAGGGCTGGAACTACCAACCCGCGGAATGCTAGTTCTAACAGCCAGTGGAAGGCTGTCAACAACCTGTGGAGGGCTGGAACTACCAATCTACGGATGGCTGGAGCCAAAAGCCTGTGAAAGGCTGGCAATAGCCTGCGGAGCGCTGGAGCCAACAGGCTGCAAAGTGTTGGAACCCCTTGGCCGTTGGAGTTTTGAAAAGCAGTGTTGAGCCTTCACGAGGGGCAAGCAGATTTCCAGCATTTGGTATGATCCCGCCAGGGCGATTAAGCGGATAACCTCTGTGGAATGCGCTGACACCACCATGGGGATGTCATGGTCCAAACGTGGCTAATCTCCAATGGAAGGGAATCATCGAAACACAAGGGCAAAGAGGGTAGACCACAGAGATGCAGCCGCCAACCTTCCATCAGCAGGTAGCCGTAGTGCAGCCGCTGACACCAAATCAATGGGAGGCCAAACCTCTAATGGACGTTAATGTCATCGCAGATTGCATAAGGAGTGCATTTTCAAAAAGAAGGTTTGAAAAGAAGCCTAATGCCACTTTGAGCGCGGAAAATTCATCTCTATACAAAAAAGAAGGTACAGGGGCAAAGACTCCCGATGTTGTGGAGGCTCTTATCGAAAAGGAGTCTGTGGAGACAGAGGTTGCAGAAGCCATGAAAGCTTCAGAGTTTGCAGAGGCAAAGACTCCAGAGGTTGTGGAGACTCCAGTCGAAAAGGGGTCTGCGGTGGCAGAGGTTTCAAAAGCCATGGAAGCTCCAAAATTTGCGGAGGCAGAGACCATACATGGACCTAGGCTCCAGAGACCATAGAGGCTCCGTACAAAAAGGAGACTGTAGGGGAACAGACTTTAGAGGCTATGGAGGCTCCATACGAAAAGGAGCTTGCAGGGGTAGAAACCCTAGCGACTTTAGACGAAAAGGACTTTGCGGAGGCAGAAGCTTTGGCCACGAAATTAACAAATGGAAAGACTTATTTGAGTCCGGCATTGAAGCCGACCAAAGGGTTTATTCCTTTCGCTAATACTATGTCGGCTAAAGGACTTATGAAAGACAGGCTTAGCAGCCAGCCGTCAAAACCTTCAGTTCAAGACTGTCTAGGACCGAAGGCACCCGCTAAAAAAGTCGTCTTGACAAGAGTGACATTTGATAAAGTCTCAAGTTCGAACATGGAGAAGGTAAGACAAAGGACAGGGAGCCTAATGTCGGTGTCACCATCCCGAGTCTGAAAGCCTCAAGATCGGAAAAGAAAAAAGTATACAAAGGACCCAAGCCGGAGGCCATCGTAGCATAAGTGAAAGTCACAAATGGGAAACGGAATTGGACTGTTACCACGGCTGACCAAATCACCATCATTCCCAAGGTGACACGGAAGCCTCCTATTGTGAAAGAGAATGAAAAATAGATTGTGAATGAGCCGAAGCTTTCCACTAGGGGGTAATAAGTGTACTCACTAGGACTCAAAAGAGACAAGCTCAAATAAGAAAGTTGGAGGCTCGTATGGAGGAGGAGAGGTCACACGAGCTGTCTCCGAAAGAAAAATGATGGAAAAACTGCCTCCAAAAAATAAACAGGCTATAGAGCCGCTTCCAAAAAGAAACCAGGCTACAGAGACGCTAAGGAAGTAGGTTGTGGAGCCAGTTCCAAAAAGAAAACAGACCATGGAGCCGCGAAGGAAGCAATTTGTGGAGCCGCTTTCAAAGAGAAAGCAGGCTATGGAGCTGCCTACAGAAAAAAAGCAGACTGTGGAGCCGCTTTTAGAAAGAAAGCAGGTTGTGGAGCCGTTAAGGAAGCAAGTTCCGCTTCAAGAAAGAAAACAGGCTATGGAACCGCTAAGGAATCAAGTTGTGAAGCCGCTTTCAGAAAGGAAGCAGGTTGTGGAGCTACTTCCAGAAAGAAAGCAGGCTGTGAAGCCACTAAGGAACTAGGTTGTGGAGTCTTTTCCCAAAAGGAAGCAAGTGGAAGAGCTTCCGAAAGAATTCAAAGCTCTGGAAGAATTTCAAGAGTTAGAGCAAGTTGTTT